AGCTGATACATGCTATCGATGGGCACCCCAGGACATGGCCATGGCGAGCGGCTGCAAGGCTTGGTCTGAGCAAGCTTATTCTGGATAGTAACCCGCATATCAAGATTCAACACATCGGTCGAAAATACAACTCAAAAGCGAATTGGGTGGCCAGATCATGTGCTAAGAGCCAACTTCCCTCGCAATGGTTGCAAATTCTTGAAATGGTTGCACCTCTCCTGTAATGGTTGGATTTTGCTTCGAGTAATGGAAATTTAGTGTCCTTTGTCAAAAAAAAAAGTTTATTATTTTACATCGCCTCTGCTGTTGTATCTCGAGAAATCTGCAAACCTGGCAAGACATTTGTTAAGAAAAAACAAAAAGGAAGCTACAGCTCAGCCAGAGGGAGCAGAGACTTGTAGTTTGGAGCCGGAGCAAAGGAAGCGGAGGAACGGGTGGAGCACAAAGTGACGGAACCTGCACAACAACAAAACGAAACAAGAGCGAAACCGAACGTGCCAGAGGAAACAAAGAGAAAATCAAGCCACAACTGGAATACAGAAATCAATCGAAGAAAAGTTGTAGAGTAGGGGAGTGAACCGAATATCAGAAATAGAAGGAAAGGAGGAAGCATAATCATGCAAAACTAACGAGAGGTTGACGTCAGAGGTCCCGAATAAAAATCCTAACAGAGGCAAATCAAATGAAAAGAGGATGTCATGCGACTGGACGATGAGCAGAAGTGAATCTTTCCAAGCAGCGCGAAGATGCTGAGATGTAGCCCGATAAGGGAATTGAAGAGCAATTGGCAGTGGTGAGTACGGATGCAAAGTCAATTCGTCAAAGTAATAGTTGTTATTATTGTTATTATCTTTTTTACTAATCATAAAATAGTGGAAAGCAAAACAAACAAATGTCTACAAAAAAATTAGTGGACAGCCGAGATACAATCTGAGCCCTGACTCCTTTAGCTATAGCAAAGCTAAGTCTAGTAAAAATGTATGACGCCACCCGAGCGCCCGCATCCTGAGACACGGAGAATTTCTGGATCCGCTTGAGCAAAAACACGACATTCGTATCCAATTCTCAGCAAAGAAAAAGGAAAGGGCAGGAAATTGTAATCAGCTGCCATGCACAAGTCCCAATACTTGGCACACTTTTCATCAGCAACAACTCGGCCAGTCATGTAACCAGTTATCCCAGTCTAAGTCAAAGGCGAAGATCCAGTCAGATCGACACACACATCCCCCCAATGTCCCAAGAATAAAGAAGCAAACCCACAGACGAAGGGGTCCACCATGCTCATCAACCAAACCGATATCAACCTCCCTACCATCAGATATCCTAGACATGTAACAAATGTCCAGTACGGTGTCACAAATGAGTTTCTTTCGATGCTTAATGCTCACAGTACCAACAAAGTACACAACATGATCTCCAAAGACATCGCCATGAAAGATACATGAACAAGCAGGACATAGCTTAAATATTGAAAATAATGAGACACCTAGTCGATAACTAAGCACACTACGATTTGTTCTCCCATTCATAGACTGCCCCAACCCAGCAATAAGAACATCGCGCAACCAACCAGAAGAGTGTGCACTTTGCTGAGATTTCCACAAGGCCACCTGACGTGTAGTCAACAAGAAAACAGAATCTGAAATAGTAGCAACCTTCACAAAATATAGGCAAAATACAGTTGTATATCCACAACTATCAGGTTTGTGACAAATATATCCACAACTATCGAAATACACGAAATATCCAAAAATCGGAAGGTTGTGTGACAAATCTATCCACTTCCGTCTGAAACTATTACGTCGACTCAGACGGCGTTAAATTGACTAACGGAATGCTGAATCGATGTCATCTCATCTGCCACATAAGCCAAAAAGCAACCAAACTTTACACCTAGATACCAAATAGGCTAGTTGAATAAAGGCAAAATGCAGTTGTATATCCACCACTATCAGGTTTGTGACAAATATATCCACCACTATCAGGTTTGTGACAAATATATCCACAACTATTGAAATACAAAAAATATCCATTTCCGTCCACTCCGTTAACTCCGTAAGTTAACTTGATGACTGGACAGACGGTGGATGCTTAGTTGGCGTGTTTCTGGCCCCGCTGAATGTCGTGGATTAAAAGAGAAAAAATATTTAAAAACCATAAAAACCACAGACGGCGAGACTAAAAATCCAAACCAGAAACATGCCCGATAACCATTGATCCTCCTCCGCAAATAACCCTACCCAAGCCCAGATTTTGATTCCAACCACAATCCCCAACCATTGCCTCCCTTTTAATCTGACAGCTTCCATGCAGTCGGCGCCATGGTGATACCAAGCTTGAATCTCAAACAAAAAAAGCTTGAATCTAACCAAATCGCCAACAGAGAAGACTGCAGCAGCGAGGTCTAACAAATAATGGTGTAAAGTTTGATTGCTTTTTGGCTTATGTGGCAGGTGAGATGACATCGATTTAGCATTTCGTTAGTCAATTTAACGTCGTCTGACACGTCGTTATAGTTTTAGACGAAAGTAGATATATTTGTCACACAACCTTCCGATTTTTGGATATTTCGTGTATATCGATAGTTGTGGATATATTTGTCACAAACCTGATAGTTGTGGATATACAACTGTATTTTTCCTAAATTTTTTTTTCCTCTTTTAATCCACGTCATTTAGTAGGGTCAGAAACACGCCAACTAAGCATCCACCGTCTGTCCAGTCATCAAGTTAACTGACGGAGTTAACAGAGTAGAAGGAAATGGATATTTCGTGTATTTCGATAGTTATGGATATATTTGTCACAAACTTGATAGTTGTGGATATACAGCTGTATTTTACCCAAAATATATGCGTCATTTTCTTTGTAAGTTTTGGGACGACAGCAACTCCACAAGGGTGACGTAAGATATCAGAATATGTAAACTCATTAAAGGTGCTTAGGGCGTCATCAAAAGCAGGGCCAGGAGATAGTATACTAAAAGGACCCAAGAGTTTAGCTTGCAACTCCGCAGACTGCAAACGAGACACCAGCATAATGCAGAACATCTTCAATAGCATAAACCCCAAGCCCGCCAAAATAAAAAGGGAAAGTGGCAAGTCTAAACTGCAAATCGCCAAACCCGAGCCTAGAACTTTCTAAACTAGAATGAAGAGTTGTGTCAAAAGATAGTTGGGCCAACAAAAAAAACACGGGAGCAATTCACACTATGGGTCATTAATCCTCGCAACCAAATCCATTATCTCAAGTCCTAATAATGTCTTCACCACACTTTCATTGCTAAAATCAAGACAAGAAATTACAGGACCATCCAGAACGGTGACATCATGCAATGCATGAACAGTTAACTCGTAATCTTTTCTTCACAGTTCACATCCCTAGTGAAGAAAATGTACCGACCAAGTTCAATTGCTCTCCCGCCTGCCGTCAAGGAAAACCCTCAAAACCAAAATCAACCCAGAAATAAAACATGTTAAATCTGTTTATATTCTCCTGGGCCAATCTAAAAGACAACACAGCATCGCCCCATCCATCCAACCTTCTAAGCAGCTACTGCGAATTTGTAAACTAAACAGCGGAGGAAGCATTCCCCAGACACGGCATCTAACATATATAGTGCAAGAACTGGAGTTAAATTAGGCCAGTCACGACTATGCGGGAAATTTTGCACAATCCCATGACCATTAACGACCCCACCACCCACAGCAAATTCTGCTCAAAGGTGGACATCAAAGTGAGTCCTATTACTTTAAACGACATTTATACACAGAATATGGTCAAATTACTATCTTCTGGTACTAAATGGCTTTGCAGAGGTTTTCCCCACTTCATCACTTCTGCCGGTCTTCTCTCTTTAATGACCCTGTTCGATAAGCTTACTGCCTCGGTACAGGAGGTGTAGTAGTTGCCTGATGCATTTGCCCATTGAAGCCCCCTATCCCCAGTGGCCGTTAGTACCCTCCGCTTGTTGTCGGTGTCTGCTGCTGCTCCGGAGGCTGCAATTGCTGCTGTGAGGTAGGCTGCCACGGCATGCTGCTTAACCCAAAATTTGGAGGAGGCATGGGAGGTGGAGGAAAGTTGCTGCTAGTTCCATACCCATAAGGCGGCATCACGCTAGCAGCCATCATACAACCAGATTGCTGCATGTATTGGTTTGCCGGCGTGCTAGTTTGGGGCATTGGAGGTGGAGGTGGTGGCAATGGTGGCTGCGAAGTACCAAATGAAAAGGCCGCCATACTGTTGTTTGAATTGGTCTCAGAAGTCTGTTGCTCTAGTCTAGGCCGCTTCTCTGGAGGGAAAAGGTCGGCAAATCCTGAAGACTTAAAGGAATTACCATTCAATTCTTCAGCAACAAGGGATGAGAGGACCGATGTAAGCATTTGTGCTGATGATGAGGAGGCGGAGAGTTTAGCAGCAACAGCTGCGGCAGCTGCTTTCTTGCTTTCGTCGTCAGCAGCAGCCGGAGGCTGGAGAGGTGCAGCAAAGGAAACCGTTGCTGCAGGCTGTGAGAGTGAATTAGGCTGAGGTGGAGGCAGAGTGCTTGTTGTTGTTGGCTGTCCTGGTGAAGAAGAAATGTGCTCGACGGCAACTCTTGTGCCATCTGAAGTTGAGGGGGTGGTTGTAGATGATGGGCCGGGGACAAATGCAATCGTTAACCTCTTCCTTAGATTGCTAGATTGTTCGATATGACCTCTTACAACCTGTACAGAAAAGCATATCAGCCTCAACCATGCACTATAGAGCGTGATAAAGTAGCAGCTGGGCAAAAATGTCGTTGGTATAGTAGAATGCAATCGGTAGATAGTGAACATAAAGAGGCAGTTTGAATGTTGGATTAGATGGCACCAAATCCATGTCCCCACGGATTTGAAAAACCAATAGAAACATTAAGTTTGTTTTTATTTACTATTTGACCAATTTATTAATTTTATTATGTTTTGCGACGTTTTTAGAATTATTTGAGTTTTTCTGTTATGGGGCTAAATTATGGATCGTTAGAGTGAATTCGTAGGATTTTATATCTTGTAATTGTAGAGACTTTCTCATTAAGCAAATACAATACAGAACATAATAGTCCAATTCCAATTCTCTCTTTCCTCTAGGGATGGCAATGAGTGAGATTAGGTTGAGTTGTTCCAAGCCCACATTCAGCTTAGCGAGTGCACCCATTAAAAAAATCTGGTAAAATAAAATACCTAATGCGTTTTAGAAGAGCAAATACAACCCAACCTAACGGGTACCCATGCATGGGTTTACAACCATCCATAACTATACATTATTTTTCTGAACACTCATATTCTAATATTATCGAAAAAATTTCTACAAATATATCCCTATAAAGACTAATAACACCCACGTATTATCCATATTATATATTATTAGGTTTATAATACTAATAGACATAAAGACAAATAACATCTATATATTATCGATATTGTTAATGTTATATACAAAATAACGCCGTTATACTTTTTGGGTGCAGGTCAGATGGAAAGCGGGTTGGGTTATGGTAAAACCCAACCCGCAAATTTAAAAAATGGGTAAAATCCACACCTGACCCAAAACCTGTCGACACTTAATTATACCCGCTTTGACCGAGTTGAGTCAGGTTGGGTACTCGAGAGTTCGTGTTCAATTGCCATCCCTACTTCCCTCTCTATCTAGCTTCAGTTGAACCCCCTAAACTTCACACACATCTCCTCCTCGTTGTTTCCCCTCTCTTTCTCTCTCTTGATCTTCCCAAATACTTCCCCTAAATTATATCTTTATAATCTATTTCAACCCCTTATAAATAAACTTTTTCAATCCTTGTTCAACATTTGTTTACAACTGTGGAACTCCAGATGGAGACGCCTAGATCCATAGTTCTTACTTCTTACAGTGGTATCACCCATGCTCGGCACCAGGGTTGAGCAAAAAAATAGGATGGAGACTTATTAGAGAAAGCACTACAAGATGTCGTGAAGGTTGAAGGCCTCACGTCAAGCATTACAACATGCACCTAAGAATGTAGATAAAGGATAGAAGAAAAAAAATGCACGTTATGACTAAACAGCAGAGGAAAAACTTATTAGCAGATATCTGATTAAACCAGAATCTAGTTGCATGCATGTTTTGTTTTAACAAAGCTTAAAAAGCAAATTAACAACGAGATCATCACAAAACTTATACAGGAATCTCGCTATAACTCGTGAAAGTTCTCCAACCTGAGTCTTGCAGTAGCTCCCCTAACAGCTGTTACTTTAGACTTCCAAGCTTTTAAACAAATTGTACTGCATTCTATGTGCACATCAGTTGTCAACATGCCAGGTCAAGTCTTAATGGGCTAGCTTAAACATGGTTCAAAACAATATATCAAGCTCTTGGATACACAAGAGTCATGATCTTATGTGAATGCCAACGAGAGCAGAAAATGCCATGATTCTCTTTATCAGGATATAGAGGGAATTCAACTTTCAGGGATCACTCACTTAGTTTTTCTTTCTTACTATAGCTAACAATACAGCAGCGTAGTTTCAACTTATGCAATCCTGTTTCCTACGGATGGAAGTGAATTTGTGAATGACCATTGGAATTAAATTATTAGGTGAGGGTTTAAAATAATAATAATAACACTCTCCTTAGCTAGAATTTACTATGTACTGGTAGACATTGAAAAGAGGAGGGGACTATGTGAGTTGACATTGATTTATGGGCTAAATACAGGAATTCTTACTTGTAACTGAGACTGAACGATGTCAAGCTTTGACTCCTGAAATGAGCAAGGTAACTTAAATTGAAATTCATACCACAACATTTATGAAGACTTAAACTTGAAATTCATACGAACTTACTTGTTCTTTAAGTGCTTCTTTAAGCTGTGTAATCAACATCGTATGTAATTTTTCAGCAGTATCAAGCTGGCCAGCACACTGCTGAAGGACATTTTCCTGCACCTGTAGCTCATCCACCAGTGCAGGACCAGGCTGATTTCCTGAAGAGGCCGTGAGTAGACAAAGGTTCAATTTCGACAAACTTGGTCAATTATTCACCTGAAGACAATGCAAAGAGTAAATGGTGCTAGGAGACAGTAATAGCTTATTTCCCTTGAGTCCAAAATTGACAGAAACAATAATTTCCAGTCCACCAGGGGAAAAAGGCACTTGGAAGTAAGAAAAAACTCACTAATACAAAAATCCAAATAATTTAGTATCCGAACAAATGATTTAGTACTCGGAAATCCAAATTCCAAACACCAAATCCTCATATCCAAACGCATCCTAATAGGAGGTAAGTAATAACTCATGAAACAAACTTGGACCTTATGAAGGAGGTAAGTAATAACATGTTATCTACCCTCACTAAGCCCACAAAACTTTCTGAATGGGAATGATGCAATATCTTAAATCTATACTTGAACAAAAGTCATTTAAAATATACCGTTTGGGGGTACAACTATCAGCTAATCAGTAAATAAATAGAAAGATCCCATTGCATGGCTGCTATTCTCTGTAGCAATGACATTATGATCAAACTACTCAAGAAAACTCAATCATTCAAATAAGTATAATTATTTTTGTACAGCAACAAAAGGTGACGTCAAGCACAGACTACGTTCACGAACCTGTAGAATCAGAAGCTGTTAAATCCCAATTCTATAAGTATCTGAAGGGGACTGCCTACCTGCAATTGATGTACTTTCTATATCTTCTCTGATTTTACCCAAATGAGACACGGCAGCACTACTCTTATCCATTGCAGCTTCCTCGGTTTGATTTTCATCAAGAACAGATTGAAATGCAGTCAATATCTTCTCCGGAATACATCCCGCCATCAGTTTCTGATTTCAAGATACCAAAAAAGATGAAAACCAACCACGCAATTTCAACAAGACTTATGATAGGTAACAGTAAATATTTACACAACAGTTAAAACTAAGACGGGAATGCTCACAATTCTTAACGAGCTGACATCCCTTTTCACTATCTTGATAGGGTTTGATATCTGGTTCGAGATCTGGTTTGAGCTCTTTCCATTGCTCACTACTGGAGGCAGAGGAACTTTACCAAGCATTTCATCCTTTAGATTCAGGGCACGTGAACCAAACACCTTCCTTTCTTCCCAAATGGCAACCTGAGACAAAAGATGGCGACAAAATATAAAATAAATAGGATCTAAAAGATGCCAAAATAAAATAACATTGCAAGAATAGGACAAAAAATTTGAATCTGGAAATTTCATATTGTTTAGGAACCACATGGATGTACAATCGAATGCTTCGGTGGTTCCATTATAAATTCCAGATAGGCTTCAGAAATCGGAAACATAACTTAAAGAAATAAAAAAAAGGAACACAAAGACCCAGTATAGTGCACCACAGCGTACTTGTACTTTCGTTAGCCATTGCATTATTTCAGAATATCATACTTTAAACCCTCAACTAGTTCAACGAACAAATGAAAGCAACCAAAAGACGAGAAAACATATACCTAACCTCATGCATAATGATTATCCCAACTGCACAATCGCCCACCATCAACATATAGGAGTAGGACGCAAGAAGCCATAGTTACATACACAAAAAATCTCAGAACAGTGAAGAAATTAATCAATTTCGACTCATTCGTCAAAGTGTAAGGACAATGGCCACAAAAGAAGCAAAACTCAATGAATAATAACTCACCAGTCTGGCAACTGCTTTCTTTGACTGCTCATCTCCGCTTTCATAGACAATTTTGAGTTCCTTAGGAAGAACTTTCCAGAACTCATTAACAAATTCACTGCCCTTGCGCTTACTGTTTTGTATGATGTCATTGGCCAAGTATAAGAATGTGACACGCTGCTCTCTCTGTGATGAAGTGAAGTACTGATTCCATGTTTCAACCACTTGTCTTGCCTTTTTCCGGTGTGATATGCACCAGCGTGACAATGCTACTCTAACTGTTAAAGCAACATATTACTGTGAACAGGTGATATTATTTTAGATAAGGATGGGAGAAGAATAAGGCTACAGAAAACCATATTGTACCGACCTAGATCTCAACAGATGATAAACATATCATCACCCAGCATGGCCAGAGACAATGATGGGAGAAGAATACAGCTACAGAAAACCATATTGTATCCACCTAAATCTCAAAAGATGATAAACATATCATCACCCAGTTCACCATGGCCAGGCCATGCTGCTTTCCAGTGACCTGAGCACCAAAAAGATATTGAGATTCTTCTATATGACTAATCTAGTGAAGCAGGCTACGATTTTCACACCCTCAAAAACTGCTGCTACAGAATCCATCCAAGGGTGTAGGGACTTCACCCTCTTAGACTATATTGAATTGATTTGTTATCAGGCATGCAAAAGCATTATGGGTGTATATCTGACTATGGGTGATTTGTTAAGAAAAGAATCAGAAGGGAGAACCTAAAAATCCAAAAGTGAAGCAGTAAAAATACACAAATCCTCTGTTATCCGGGAAAAGATTATGTACAAGCACTCGAACATCTGACCTATGGCCCATGTCACAAAACGCACACATCAATGAGTGCAAGTGTTCTAGAGCTGAGAGATGCACGGTGTCTTTATTTCAGCTAAAAAAAAGTGAACTGCAACCGCATGTACTTTGAATAAAGTCCACAATGAAATTTTTGGAACAAACTAATTCTTCTCTAATTTCAAAATTTATTATGAAAATAAAGTACTCAGAACAAGGTTATGTTTGCAAATTGAGATTTCAAGCGAACAAACTTAACACTATAAGAAAGCTATAGTTAATATCAGGTAATATTGGATAAGGATACACTCGATGCTTTGTTGAGAACTGTTCAGCTTTGCCAACTTGTCTGATAGTACCTGTCTATCAAACAAGTCACCGCTCATCCTGCTATTATACTAGCTTGTATACAAGTACGAATCAACTCCTGCATAATTAACATTGCGCTTATGATTAGTACTTTTTTGTTCAAAGAACCAAAGCAGGAAGAGGGTTAACGCTAAAAACCTAAAGAAGAAAGATGATAAAACAAGCAAATTTAAATACTTTACTACATTCTAAATCACTTCAGTGGACAGAAATCTAGATGGGGCAGCTAGAGAAAAAGAAACAGACAGACAGAGGATACAGTCGCCACAAAGACATGGGAATGTGCTACACACTGTACACATACTTACTATGCATATTAACAAACTACTTAATGTTCTCAAACAATCCCACAGCATACCCCATCGGCATCATTACCTCCTTACTATCCTAGTAATGAATCCATAAACATTCAGCGACAAGGGGGGAAAATCAAAGGATTGCTCTGGGACTTTCTACGCACCATTGAAGCAAGCTAACAAATAAAGCCAACAACACCATAGACAGCCTCTAAGAAACACAAAATGAAAAGCCAGCGTCTGCTTGCCGAAAGAGAAGTCCATACTACAACACAATCCCCACTAGCAAGCAGCGAGCAAGACATCATACGAATGTCCAGTTATCTAAAGCTTCTTCAATCGATAGACCAGTACTTACAAAATTCTTCATTCTTACGTTAACAGCAGCAGCAGCCCACCAAACAAACCCATAACAGCCAAGAGCAGTCCGAAGTATTATTGAGCTCTATAAACAGATGTTCATCAGCACAACCCAGCAAGAAAATATAACTTTTTTCGTAGTTTCTTCCTACTCTTTGGCAACAAAACCTAGTGAAATTAGTTAATAGATAACAGGCAGAAGCAGCTAATAAACTCAAAATACACATCTTCAATCCTTCTAGCTACTTATCACCACAAAAGGGAAAGAGCAAATAGAGAGTGCGGAGGGGGGAAGAAGAGGCGAACAAGAAGGTGACCAGGTGGAAAAACAGAGTCGGCACCGTCGCTGCAACCACCCGCCGGCCAGTTTCCCCCTTCGTGACCTGAGACAGAGAGGCTCTCCTCCTGGGGATTTGCAAATAAATTTTTGCCCCTTCGGACAACGCAACAAAAGAAACTATTCGCGTCCCTTTTTTTTCGATTCGGGCGCTTGCTGCGGCTAGCAGCCAAGCCCTGGCTTTAGGGATGGCAACAAAACCCGAACTCACGGGTACTTACCCGATTCAATCCAGTTAACGCGGGTAAAATTCGTGTTTATGGGTTTTGGGTCGGATTTGGGTTTAAACCCATTCACTATTCATCGAGCTGGGTTGGGTTTGGGTTTAAGTAAACCCGCCCCATGGCTACCCGTCCAAACTCATATAATTAATTTTCTCGGTATATTTAATATTCTAAACAATTAATCCTATTTATGTTTGTGGAGACATGTCTAATTTTTTCTTTCTAATTGTGTAGAATGATGTTGATATTATCGAGTGGAGAGTGAAGAGTGGAGAGTGAAGAAACTTAATTGAAAGGAAGAAATTTTCAATTAATCATTTTATTTATGGATAATTTGTGATTTGCTTCAATTTTCTTGAGTTTTCTAGATTGGTGTTTAACAATTTGTATTGTTAATTTGTGATTTGCTTGAATTTTCTCTAATGGTGTTTTATATATGGATAATTTGTATTGAGAGATTGATATTTGACTTTAATTTTGATAGGAACTTGTTATTGTAAATTTTTTACAACAAAAACCCGTGGGTACCCATGAACCCGCGGATACCCAACGGGTTGGGTTTGAATTTTTCAAACTCAGTGGGTTTTACCCCGGGTTTTTTTTTCACGTATGATACATGCAACATGTATGATACATGCAATTAATGTCAAGATGAAAATAATAATAATAATAATAATAATAATAATAATAGTAGTTAATTGTTCATATTACCTAATCTCATGTTATACTTTGTGGTATCATTAGGGTTGTTAATGAACCAAGCCGCTCATGAACGACTCGGCGTTCGACTCGAGAAAAACTCGTTCGAAACTCGATTCGTCTTAGTCAAGCCGGCTCGCGAACAAGCTCGTTAACTAAAGAACCGAACTCAAGCCATACCATGTTCAGCTCGAAAGCTCGCGAACAAGCTCATTTAACGTTTTGGCATAATAAAGGATTAAAATTCATGGATTTTATGTATTCAAATTGGGGGAAATATTGTGTTTTATTTTGTTAGACTTTGGTATAGGTTTGAATGTAATTTTGTGACAAGTTTTAGGTAAATCTTGAGCTATTATGAATATTTTATAAACTAAACTCGATTTTGGGCTCGTTAACCTTATTTGACGAGCCGAGCTCGAACCGAGCTCGAGCTTGCATATTAAAGCTCGTGACGAACACGAGCCGAGCTCGAGCTTGGAAATTTATTAACGAGTCAAGCCCAAACTATGGCAAAGCTCGGCTTGACTCGGCTCAATAACAGCCCTAGGTATCATCTTGTTTAGTTAATAAATTTTAACTAGTCAAAATTATGTTATTTCATAGTATCGAAGCAATTTATGATACATAATTTCTTTTTAAAATTAAATAAGACATATTTACTCACATAATCTACGTGGTTACTTCATATAGGGTCAGATATATAATTTAAAAAATCCTATCAATTATCAAAATCAAGCTCATATAGATGGATTCGCTCATAAGTCGGTAATCGAGTTGGCTCTCTGGCCACAATGTTGAGAGTTGAGACATATCATGAGCTCTAAACGAGCTAGGTCACGAGTTGAGCTCAACAAGCCACCGAGTCAAGATAGCTCGTGAGCTGCAGAAGGCTTAACTCAAGCTCGGCTTGTTAGTAAATGAGTCGAGTTTCGAACGAGTTTTTCCCAAGTCGAACGCAGAGCTGCTCGGGAGCAGCTCATTTGCAGCCCTATCTGAGGTTGCGACTTGCGTGAGTGCGTCCGCCCATCCTTATTCACCAAGCCTTGCTCTTCTGCAACTGATTTTACAATACACTTAAGCACCCACCATTGATCAGATACCGACAAAAAACAAAATTTTACCACATCCCCATCCAACGGCTTAAAAAATGCTTTGTCGAGAGCACATTACTACGTCCACGCGGCTCCTTAGCGCATGAGCCATGGAAAATCGTCAACTCATCTAACGATAATGGATAAACGACCAGGGGAGGTGGGCGAAGAGTGAGAAGGAAGGTGGGAATCGTTGGAACCTTGCTCGATCAATAACTCTAAGGGACTTTGTGCAGAATTTGGGTCTCCACGACCCAGGTTACCAGGGTGATCAATTCACTTACACTAATAAGTGGATGGGTCAGCCTTGCATCCGTGAGAGACTAGATCGAGCTCTTTGTTCTCGATCTTGGGTCGATTAAATTCGCAGACACTTTAATGAAGTATTTCATGGATCAAGGATGTAACCATCGAGCCTTGTTATTATAAGATAAACCTACACTCGTAATAGTCGTCCGCTCTTCTGATTTGATGCTCGTTGGGCATATAATCCTCAGGTACGAGCAATGGTAACTTACGTGTGGAATGAACCAATTCATGGGTCCCCAATGAACAGGCTCTGGGTGCGCCTGCAACGCCTACGCCACCTCTTGTATGACTAGAGTAAGGCAGGCACTACGAACTCCTTGCGGAATATCAAAACCCTCCGGAAGAGACAGATCGGATAACACAAGTCCACCCCATCAACTGGGGTACGTTACGAGACTTGGAGACAGAAATTTACTGCCAGCAGAAATTTAGGGTAAGTTGGGTCAGAAAGGTGATTGTAATGCATTATACTTTCACACAGTCATAAAGGCGAGGAGAACGTGGAATTTCGTGGCAGGTTTATATGATGATAATGGGGACTGGATAAAGGAGGAAAAAGGGAAGGCAGACATTGCTATTAATTTTTTTTAGACTCTGTTACCTTTGAGAATCAGGTGGGGAATATGGTTGCATGTGTGGCTGACCTCCCGATTGATAGGCTAGTAACGAATGTTATGAATGAGGTATTGACGGCTAAACTCCAGCCTCTTGAAATTCGGCAAATGATCTTTTTGATTGGATCCACACAAGCACCTGGATCAGACGGATTCACTGGTAATTTCTTCCGATCATTTTAGGATATTGTTTGAGAGTCATTGGTTGATGTTGTTTGCTCCTTCTTTAGAACGGAACGAATGTTGCGAAACTTCAATCACACTTGGATGGCTTTAATTCCCAAAGCGCACAATGTGGAGAATATAAGACATTTGAAGCCCATAAGTTTTATGCCAATTCGTGTATAAGATCATTGCCAAAATCATGTATGAACGTTTGGCCCAATTCCTCCCTCGATTAATTTCTCGGGGGCAGAATGTTTTCATTCGGGAAAGACAGATTGTTGATAACGTCTTGCTTGGACACGAATTGATGCATTACCAAAATATTAAAACTAAGGGAAAGAAGGGCTACATGGCTATAAAGTTTTATATGGAGAAGACTTATAATAGAGTCAAGTGGCACTTCCTACTCGCGGTTTTAGAAAAATTAGGTTTCGATCCTAAATGAATTAGGTGGATCAAGGAATGCTTGACATCATCGTCTTTCTCGATCCTTATGAATGGCACCCCGTCTGAGTTCTTCCAACCAACGAGGGGACTTGACAAGGTGACCCCCTTTATCTCCCCTGTTGTTTGTCATTTGCACGGAGGGATTTGCGGCTCTCATTCGAAAAGCATTGAGGAAAGGAAGCTAGCTAGGGTTAAGGTTTCCCCA